TTTACATCTGAAATATTTCAATGGAATATAGAGGTAGAAAATCCACATACAATCCCCATAATTAACAAGGGGGATAATTGATCTGGAGGTTTATTAGTGTAAATTGGAAATAATACTCATGATAGTCAGATTTGCTCCTTATTCCGTTCTTAGAAGCACTCAAATTTTATTATCTGGCTTTGCCACACAGTAGAATAGCCTGTCTTCTGTACCAAACAGCAAGCTACCAGTTGCTTTTTTTCGATCTAATTTATTCACTTCAGAAAATTGTTGCCCATGATGTCTCTCCAAGCACTTCAATATTTTTGTCTCTTTGTTTGCAAGTATCTCATACCCATTGTTTCTTAAGGTAATATTCATGAATTGATTTCTACAATCAGGCTAATCCCTTGCCTATCTGCCCCATTTTCCGTAATTTTCTCCCAGGACTTATTCTTTAGCCTTGATTGATGTCAAGATAAACTTTCAATTCTCCACAACATATTTGAGCATGCTCGATGATGAGTCCTATTTAAATAAATCTTTAAACTCAGGGGAAAAATGTTCCCTAATACCTTACCAATTTCCTTGATTATTGGGGCTTCTATTTCCTTTCCAACTACAGTAGAACCTCTGGTCACAAATGCTTCTGACCATGACCAAATCGGGTTCCGACCAAAGAAATTCACAAAATTTTTGAATCTGGTCATGAACACATACTCGGGTGGAGATCAAACATGACTCCTGACCCAGAAATTCCTGAAGATGAAACATTAGAAGACAAAGAAATCGCCAAAGTTATGGAATGAATTATGGTCGTGACCAGAGATTCAACTGTATTTATCCATTGCTTAGTTTTATATTACTAGCAGGGTCACATGAAAGTCCAGGATGACAATATCCTGCCCCAATACTGTATCCAAATTTCTTTGTCAGGGAAAAGAGAAACGTAAGGAAATCTTCTATAAGAATTATCTACATCTGACAGCAGCCAACTGCAATAAAAACATCAATGAATCAAGCAGTTAAAGATAGACTATGTGATCCTGGGGCTTGTAAAATACATTTTACTACACTGATTTGCTTCTCACCTGCAAGCATTTGAATCTCATAAGTCTGTTTCTCTCCAAACACATATACTTCCTTTTCAAGCTAAATAGATCATATTACTTTTAAAGATGTTAACAAGCAGGCATGTGGAACTAGGCATTTGATTTGGAATTCAGGCGTGCTATTCTGTCTAAGTATAGGACTAGAGGAGTTTCATTACATTTTTTATGGAAGTTAGTTCAGTGCCGTTTGGGCTCAGCATAGGAAACACATAATTTCAGCAATGGCAGTATTCTTACAGCATGTGAGATAAAAGTTGAACTGTTACAACATTTCATTTGCATCATAAGATAGCACTGATTCATAGTGGAAGAAACCCATAGCATCTTCTGTGGCTTATTTGGGAATTAAGTGGTCCAAATATTTTGAATGTGCTTTGACTTCATCAGGAGCAGGATCTAAACAATCCCGTCAACATTTTACTGAAGAAACATTTCATAGCAGCTACAGAAGCATTCTGGAAAAAAAATCCAACTATGTTGGCTAAATAAGCAATTTGAATAGCATTCGCTGACACCAGCATGACCTTTCTCATTGCAAAGCCTCATTGTGTAGTTCTGCAAAAGCAGTAGCAATAACCAATATTAAGCTAATATTTTATCATTCCTATCTTACAGTTCCAATTGTGAATCTGATCTCCAAGCTAAGTTCATGAAAGAAGCCCAGTTTAGTGGGTCTATCCTACACACAGTATTGCTACTTCAAATTCTTGAACTCCAAGTATTCTTTTCTGTTGACAAGTTTTAGGAAAATGAAGGAATTATGGACAAAAACAACCATTACCTTTGAACTAAAACTGAGTGGTCTGGAGCTTTTCTAAGAAAACAAACAAAAGAATAGAACCACATGCAAGCTATCCTCTATTAATCTCTTTGGGTCATCACAACTTGAAATGTAGGAGACAGGTATCCTGGCTTGTGGCAGATTAAATGGAAAAATCATGTCTTGATAAGCGAGTTCTTAACCCTTGGGGAGGAAATAATCTTAAATGCACTAGAAATGGTCAACATGATTATATTTGGCCAAGATGTGAAAACAAAAGATTGGGCTCCTTTTATGATTCCTCTGCTAATAAACTTTTTCTTTGAAACAATTCTAGGAAATGGATAGCACTCTCATTTAGTTTGTGAACGTAAAGGATGGTGTATATACTGTGCCAAGAAAAAGTCACTCCCTGCTCCCAATAGGTATTTACATACTGATATAGAGACTCAAAGCAAAGTCTAAAAATTCCAGTGGCACAAGCATTTTATTGCTCAAGTGGGGCAACTGTAATTTATATAGGTTTTTTTTAAATTAGTGGTTAATAATTTAATATTAATCAGCCACCCACTTACTTGGTTGAGTTGGGTGGCTGTAGAAATTGAATAAATAAATAAAATGTGTGTGCATGCACAACGAAAATTATAATTTGATCCTGATACATTACAGTACCAGGGAATGAAAAAGAAAATATTTATTGTGGACCTTTTCTCCTAATGGAGAAGGAGCACCTTTTCTTATTCTCATTCCTTCTTAACATACTGGAAAACAGAGGAAGTTGATTGCCTTCATTTTTTTGTCATTTGCATTATAGCTTTTGAGAATATAAGGACAGCAGCAGTGGTGGTATTCAGCAGGTTCTGATCAGTTCTGGAGAACCAGTAGCGGAAATTTTGAGTAGTTTGGAGAACTGACAAATTACCACCTCTGACTGGAGATTTTACAGTATCTTTCCCCTGCCACGCCCACCAAGCCACGCCCACAGAACCGGTAATAAAAATTTTTTTGAATCCCACCACTGGACAGCAGCTATAACTATTTAAACATCACAATGCCAATCCGACAGTATTAGGTCATTTAAGACTACTGAAATCAGAGACAATTCACAAAGACTGTTCTGTTCCCATGTAGCCAATGCCTTTCAAAATATGTTGCATCAAATATTAACTTGAGAATGCTTGCTTCGTCCATTTGTATGTCATCCTGTCCAATAGAGGAGCACATGATACAATTGCAGATATGCCATAAATAGAAGTCTAGAACAAAAAGACCGGCAGCTTTTTTTTTTTTTTTTTAAGTGTGCATTTCCAGGATTCTTCACTTCTGGGCCAGATGAAAACCTTTCATTTTCCCTTTCATCAATTTCCCTGTATCTTTTTCAAGCCCTCATATTCCTCTTTCCCCAGGGCAGGCTGTGTAGAACTAATGCAGTTCGTCCAGTGGCAGCCAAATTCTTTCCATTGTTTATTATTTTTGTGTTGTCTAGACAAGTTAAGCAATTGCTGCTTGGGGACTCCCTATCATTACACAAACCTTTCATGTATTTTCAAATTTTATAGTTACAATACACATGAAATAAAAGCAGTGTGTCCAGATGTTTCGTGTAACCAATGTGTTTATTAATAGTACAGGAATCTGCAATGAAGTTGTTTGGGTTAATAGAAGCATCTACTGAAATCTGTGGCTAGTTATTCAGTGTTGACATAAACTTATAGTAATTGCTTTTAACTGCATACATTTTATTCCTTCATTAGAAGACTCTTTATTGAATTTTGCTACCATTTATTCTAAAGCAGGGAGGGGAAAAAATCCTAAAATTTGTCTTCATTAACTTCAGCCTGGATAAACCTCAATTGAGAAGTCAAACTATACACTAAAATATGCTTAATCTAAAAAGAGACTCCTGTTCCCAAACACCTGCAGTTTTGTTGGAGGAAGCATCATGCAGAAACCTACATTTAAATTCAAATAGATGAACTATGGTTTATTCATACGGATGAATATATCCACTATGTTAATGCAGAAATATACAGTATGTCATCTATAAAGAGTGTTTCCTGAAATGTCTTCAATGACCAAATTTTCTACCTCCCCCTCGTGCATTTAACCAATATTTCAATTTTGAGGGTAGATGTGAATTTGTACTTGCTGATGTCAGAGAATAATTTTCAGTTCTTCTTATGGAGAACAGTAGTTTCGTTACGTAAGGTAGTAACACTTCTATCAAGGATGAAGATAAAATGTTCTCTGTTTTTTTAAATCTTCATTTCAGTTAAAGACCCAAAAAAAATCATCAAAAGAAAAAGAGGAGGATAAATTGTAGTTACTGAGCCATTTATCAGATATAAGATAAACGATCAGAGCTACCCCCCCCCCAAAAAAAACCCTTCTATATGCCATTATGGCAGGATAATTCCATAAAAGCTCTTGGATCAGACTAGCTTACTGTTCTAGAGATTTCATGGAGTGTAGAATCTGCTTTAAAAAAAACCTAACACCTGATCAAAAGGGTAAAAGTTTGAAATGTCTTTTAAGAAGCAGAGCAAGCAGAGCTGGGGAGGGGGTCTGAGTTAAACAAGTCATCAGCTTAGAATCATTATGTTCCTACAAATGATCTAAGTTCAATCCCTCTTGAATTCTGTTGAGTCTTATTTATCATCAATTTAGAGTTTATCCTGGCTGAAAAGGTTGCAAAGAGTTTTCTTTCCCCTCAGTCCTGAGGAACTCATTTAAATCCTTCTGCAACCTAGTCTGAAAAACCCATACATGGCACCTACAAAATTTATCCATACCTACTTACAGACTGTCTTTGTATTACAATAGTCTTGGCTGTGGGAGTTGCCTCTAGGGAAAATGGGCACTGTCCCCCAAAGGAAGTTTTTTTAAGGTTAAGATTTTACATTCCAATAAAATCTATCAGTAAGTGAAAGTATAATAATAAGTTAGCATTAGGAATCTGTTATAAAATGGAAACTTGCTAAGTCAATGTTAAGTTCCAAATGGATTCTCACCTTTTTAACAGATTTCATAGTTACAGTTGTACATTTTTATATATTACTGTGCCACTTTTCATTTCAGGATGCTACACAAACAACTGGATTACAGCTCAAGTACAATAATGTATTAATTATTTTCTTTATTCCTCTTACCTTTTCAATTTTCTCATCCAGCATTCGGAAGAATTCTTGTTGGCTTTCAGAAATGTGCATGCTGAAAACAGAAAGAATCATTTCAAAGTGATTTTCAAGTGCTGTAGTTTAGGGGGACAGTTGGTCTTTTTATGGCAGTCTCTAATCTGCCACTTTCAGAAGAAGAGAAGTCATCAACCCTGATTGAGCATTATTTCTGAATCAAGGCTAGCGAAAAACTTGGAAGAAGGATATTTATTTTAGTAAGAAATGCCTTTACATATTTCAGCACATGCAAAAAGGTTTGGAAAAAGATTATGCATCTCACCTACATGACAACAGAGGGAATGACTTCCAATGGAAAAGTTCCCAATATTTGAATTATAGGAGATTAGAGGAAGTTTATTACTTTGACTAATCAGGAGAGTCATAATTTCAATGAATCAAGAGCTGGGAACTTTGAATTTAATTTAGGATAACCTCTCCCAATTGAGAATAATTTAGTTATTAAAAAATCTGGGTTGAAAACAAAGATTTCACAAAGTAAGACACAGAACCAACTGCATGGCACTATTTAGTTTTACCCTCAAAAGTCCTTTTACGGAGTTAGACATAGCACAATAACTCTTTACATTGAATTCATCAGAAGCTTCTAATTTATACTCTAACACAGTGATCCCCAACCTTTTTTACGCCGCGGCCCGGTACCGACATCAGCTGGGCGCCGCCATCTTGTTTTGATGAAAAAGTGCTTCTGGTGAGCTTTCTACCCGGAAAAGCTCACCGGAAGCACTTTTTCATCAAAACAAGATGGCGGCGCCCAGCAAGCCAGCGGCCCGGTAGGACTTGTTCCACGGACTGGTACCGGTCCGCGGACCGGTGGTTGGGGACCCCTGCTCTAACATATACTGACATTTGCAGAACAAGATTTTTTTTTTACCATCACCAACAAAGTCAAATAATCTACTTCCATTAACAACCAAGTGCTAAGATGCCAAATTGGGGATACTTCGAAGTAGGAAGGGCTGGAAATATAGTACTGATAATACTATAGTACAAAACTGTAATAAAACTGCATTATTAAAGTGCTGTCAGTGCATTTGAAAAGTTCAGGACACAAGACATCATAAAAATATTACAGAATAAGGCCAGATGATTTCACTGTTCAAAGCCAGGATGCATAGGAGCCATGTTTTGAACATTACACGACTACAATCACTGCTGAATTACAGAAACTTTAGGATGTATTTTTCGTTCTGGGAAAAATGAACTCTAGATCAAAATATTCAAATATGAATTCCAGAGGACCACTCAGAAAGTAGAAGTGATCTACTTGGAGTTTCCTTGTGTTTTGTTTGTTTTTCTTGCTTGTATTATTTCTTATTACTCAGTGGCTTCCATTTTTACAACAATTCTATTGGCAGATGTTAACTGAAATTTCTAATGGAAATACTAGCAATACAGACACAATTATGGTAAATTTGGTCTTGGCAATTCTTGATCTTCAGAACCCAATATATATAATATTGGAGTGATTAACAAATAACCCTGATGGGTGTAGTCCATTTCCTAAAGGCATCTTCTGATGATGTACAAGCATTCAGAGTGAGATTGTATACTGTGAAACAGAAAGTGGGGAAAACAAGCTTTTTAAAGCCAGGGAACAACATGTCAGATACATTGGAAATCAAGTTTTTTTTTTTAAAAGGGAATTTACGTATTAAAAAAAAAACCAAGAGAAACAACTTGTAGACAAGAATAAATGCTTTTTAAAATATAGGGAGAAAAACCCTATGTGTGATACCAAGGCCAAACTTGCTTGCCTATTTTATTTATTCTGGGTTTTTTTTAAATCGAAAGTTCTCAAAAGTAATAACTGCACATTTCAGAATTTTATACAGTGGTATACATTTCAAAAGCAAAAGATAAAGACTTCATTTTCAAGATTATACAGGAAGAAAGATGGTGGATTATAGAAGTTAAACCAACTTGAGCTTCCTTCTCAAGATTTAATGCTTATCAGTTATGATCTCTGTAGAGAATAAGTTAGTGAAAAGGAGTCCATGAACCAATAACACCATGAGTGGAATACAGAAATGGTCACAAGAGCAAGAAAGTGAAGAAATATGAAACACTGAGGAAGAGGCATCCGCAGCAATGATCAAAATGAAGAGAGGCTGCTAAATGCTCCTTTAAACATCGATAAGGATTAAGTGGATCTCTCTCTCTAATCAAAAATCTCAGCTAAAAAATACTTTCTGAATATTTTGAGTAGAGAGATCACAATGAAGAATTGTGAATTAGGCCAACATCCAGCAGCTTGTCTCTGTCATCTTTACAGTATCTCTGCCGTTTGCTTTCCAGTTTTCTCCAAGAGGGATCAATGCAGAAAAGTTCAGCAGTATTTTGAATTATTTCTGAGACCATCTTTTTCAAGAAGCAGACAAGTTTTAGGAACATAATAACTTAGGTAACCAATTCAGTCATGCAGATGTATGCCCCAACTTCTTCCCTTGTATGTCTGATGAAGCCACATACAAAGTAATGGAGAAATGATTACACTGTGCCATTTATAAAAGGTGATGTGGCAATTTCACAGCAGCTGATGCCCTGTTTGACATACCAAGTATCAGAGATGCTGCCAGAATGCTGATGAGACAGCTTGCTCATCCTCCATTGTTATTCGAGGCAACAATCAACCTAGCATTTGAAATTCAGAACTGCTGCTGAGCTCTCGAGATGTCAATCCCAATTAAGATTTCTATACAAAGCAAAGGCTTTGATTTAGGAGGATTAATTATGTAATCACCAACAAGGGTTATGTGTCTGAAAAAAATGAAGCAATAAATTTATGATACTAAATATTTATTCAATGCTGCTACTATTTCCACCATTATTCCATTTTGCAACAATTTGAAGGGAACGAAAGAAATAAGTATTAAAATACATATATTCCTAAAACAACAAAGGCTATATAGAAACAAAATCTCACTCCTTACAGACTGAAGTTCTATTTGCAGCTGGCTTTTTTTTTTTTAGATAAGCCTGAGTGGGTCAAGGAAGAGGTTGTCACTTCCAGGCGTATGGATTGCCAGGATGAAGATGAAATGACAAATATGCCAATGCCAAATCTGTAACAGTACCAAAGTGGGACAGATTTCACACTGCCTTGTTCATGAACTAGACTACTGTAGAACTGCCCAATATAAGCTGGACAACCTATGGAAACAGCCATGGTAGCCTGTGAGTGCCTTCTAAATTGTGAAGAGTTCGTGAATGTTTCATGAGGCTTCATACCAGATCAAGCACCTTGAATGAAAAGATATTGAAATTGAACTTCCTGTCTAACCACTAAAGAACTAGTTAGTAAGGACATGCACGTGCATTGGGAAAGAAGTCATAAAGGGAGCACCTCCAATAAGTTTGACTGAAATCAGTTCCCAAAGGATGAATTCTTTAATATAAGGTGGAAATTGTATAAGAGGAGGTCACAAGGGAAAGTGGAGCAGAAGCACCATTCTGTTGGGAGCACCTCCAAAGAAAGGTAAAGCAAACAACTGTAGTTGCAGCCACTGCATGGAGTATATTATGTAGACTCTGAGTTTTGCTATGAAGAAAAGTTTGCATGCAACATCCCAAAGCACATAGTGCCATTGCAAGGGTAACAGAGTGACTTCACTGAACAAAACAACTTAACGAGCTATGTGGTAAGATCACTCAGAACACAAATACATGGAGTCAGTTCCTTGTCTGTGTAAAGGAACAAATTGTAACTTTGACGGCAGAAGAATACAACAAGAAGTATTATCAACTTAAGGGGAGAAAAAATGTTTTGGGATTTGGAGAGAGGCCAAATGGCAACATGTAGTATTGGCAAATGGTTCCATCTACTATAAAATGAAAGTCGAGATCATGGGAAACTATGGATACATGAAAATATGTGCATCTCCTTCCCTTCTGCAAGAGAGAAAAAATATGCATTACCTTTAAAAAAACAACAATATGAAAGAGCAAAAGTCTAGGGTACTTAAGAAAGGAGGCAAGAGTCCACTAAAGATGCTGTTGTTTGGTTGAACTAAGATCAGTCATGTGATGGGGTAGAAGTAGAATTGATGCTGCCTGCATCTATGGTATATTTTAACAAGCTTAGGAATTACATTCAGTAAATCTTGTTACTGAATGTTCTACTTTTACTGAAGAGAAGATCCACAATTTAAAACAGCCTCCAGTGTCAGTGGAGATGAGCCAGGTATGGCAATACTAGATGATGACATAAACTGCCAAGTGTTTAATGCCTGTTTTTCAAAATGTACTACTTCTGAAACAAATGGAAGTGTTTACCTCTTGTCCTCTGGCAAGTGAGACAGGAATGTGTTATCTTTGGCAGCAAGAAATGACATATTGCCATGCAAGCTTGACAGGAGGAAGAGTGTCTTCACAGAGTATACCTTGTGCCCATGGCAATCCATTTTTTTTGCCTGTTCTGTGGGTACAGAGTATTGTTGGTCATGGGAGCCTGACTGTGATGCCTCCACTATTCTAGAATCAAGCAGAGGATATTGGAATAAGAGATGGAATCCTTCTTGCTTTAGCTTATAAATATTCTCAGTGGGGTAGGAAGTTGAAGGCTGACTCAGGAGAAGTTGCTGTCTTAAACATATCAATAAGAACTTGTGTATCAGTAGTATTTTGAATGAATTGATATATTTAGTCCTGCTAATTCTGTTTAACTCCAGAGCAGTACTCTCTGCCATCCAATAAATCTGTTCATTATAGGAATGGATGTCTTCCAAAGGAGAGATTTGGTACATGGATTGGTACCTAGGTGATGATGTCAAACACACTGAAGAAACATCAGGGGTTTAGAGTAATTATTACAAAAATGATGGAGCAGCTCCTGTGGCTCAATAGAAGTAGGAAAATCCCGAATGTAAACCAAGTGTGGATGATGGTTATAGCAGGCTGGAACGTTAATGTGACATTTGCCTTGAAGAGAACGAATTAATCTAGAGGACAAGAAAACAACGCTTGCAAACATTTTCTGCCTTGCTTCCAAGACATAATTAGACAGCAGAATTCAGAAACACTTTTTCAAAGTGATGGAACCAAACAAGAATTCTATATGGTATGAACACTTTTTAAAAAGATAAGGAAGCTTTTTCAGTGTAGGGCAGGGGTGTCAAACTGGCAGCCCATGGGGTGGATGTGTCACACGCAAGTCACGGCCACCCCAGCTCTGTGAAGGGGGAAAACGTCATGAAACATCATGTGATGGTATCAAGATGCGGAGAGTTTGACACCTGTGGTCTAGAGGCTTCAAATAACTTCCTGCCTCACAAAACTAATCACATTAGGACTTCAGGGTGAGAAGTACTGACATATATAAACCCTGCAGAGGCTTAAGATACCCATTTTGCTTAAATTCCCCTAAAAACTGGGAATATTGGTCTTTTTTCCCTTTTGATTTGATTTTTGATGAGGTGAAATTTTTTTAAGGGTTTGGTGATATTCTCAAGTAACCCCATACTTCTTAAAATGCAGAACAAAAATAAATCTATGAATTTCATCCCTACTTCAATTGGGTTGGTTTCATGAGTTTTTAAAACATACATTTTATCATCTACCTGTTAAACTGAACAACTAATTGATTCAAATTAGCTTTCTCTTAGTCAGGTCCACTGACATCTATGTGCAAGCATAAAGACTGCACAAGATGCCTATGCCCAAGCAAATTATATGGAGATTACTGATTGTGCAATAACTTTTTCCTATATACATACCTCTGAATCACTGGGAGTAGAATAGCCTAGAAATTTTACCAACAAGCTAATATATAAACTATGATCTAAATTGAAGCATGTTAGAGATTATGCACGAAAACACAATTTAAGCTTCATATATCAGTGAAAACCTCTGGCATGCCCTAAAGTAGAATAGATATATCTAGTGATACATATAGCTTTGTCTGTATTTATATATACAGTACTTCTATCTAGCTTTGCTATGCTATGCTATTCTTTTTTTTCAAGAACAAAACCTGAAAACGAGAAACAATAAATGCTGATTTTTCAGCTCACTCTATTCTTCTTTAGGAAAACCCAAATCATCTTCTCAAAATTTTCAAATTAGTATTTTCCAAATGTCTTAAATTTGGATTCCTATAATTCCCAGACTTTGGACATGTGGACTAGAAATCATGGAAGTTCATGACACCCATAGGGACGATAGTCAAGATTCTTCTTCTGATGATAGCCTAGGGGACATCATTATCTAAGGCCTAGTTTTTTTTTTTTTTTTAATGAGTATGTAAACCTGTATCTGAGCACAGCAGTAGGATCTGCTGAAGCTGTGAACAGAGGTAGAATATCTTTCTGGATTTGGAGGTGATTTCATCTTGTTTTCCACCTCCTTGGCACTTCACTCCCTAGTTACAGTATCTTCTAAAGCTGAATCAATCAATATAAGCATCCCTTATTAAATACAGCTCACCTTCTCTCTGTCTAGATTCATTTTTCACCTTTCTCTTATCTTTCTGACCTAGCAACACATTCCTCTTTCCTCCATCCTATTTATTATTTTTCTTCATCATCTTTGCTCTTTTTGATGGGAGTAGGTGTGTACCTGTGTTTTTCTATGTTTTCAAAGAGTAAGTTGTATGTGAAAGAGAATGGTAAAGATAATTGGGATAATTCTATAAATAGGGCATCTTATTTTGCATCTATTTAAAGCCTAGGTAGATATTTCAATTCACGTACATTTATTTTTTGCAATGGCCTATCTCATTTTGAGGTATGACTTGTGCAGATTTATGTATTTATATACTTATGCATACAGAGTTACAAGTATGTCACCCTCACAGATTTGTTTTTGGGGAGGGAAATCTTCATGATTAGTTTTAACTGGAAATTGGGAATCTTAGTTTCATAGGGTAAGGAAACTGAATATTGCATAAGAAGTTTGGTTATATATGTGTGTATTCACCCTCTAGTCCTTTTTTTTTTGTAAGGATCATCTTTTTATAGAATAACAGAGTTGGAAGGGGCTTTGGAGATCATCTAGTCCAACCCGCTGCTCACACAGGAGCCCTATACCATTTTAGGCTAATGGTTGCCCAGTGCCTTCTTAAAAAATATCAGTGTTAGAACAGCCAAATTCTGAAATTGTTCCACTGGTTGATTGTTTTTACCGTCAAGAAATTTTCCTTTAGTTCTAAGTTGCTTCTCTCTTTGTTCAGTTTCTATCCACTTGGTGCTTTAGGGAATAGGTTGCCCCCCTCTTTTTTATGCCAGCACGTCAAATATTGTAATGCTAATATCATGTAGTACCCAGTTCTTCTTGTCACTAAACTGGACATACCCAATTCCTGCAACCATTCTTCATATACTTTAGCCTTCAGCCCTCACCCCCAATCATCTTCATTGCTCTTCTCTGCACTCTTTCCAGAGTCTCAACATCTTTTTCATATTGTGGTGACCAAAATTGGATGTAGTATTCCAAAGTGTGGTCTTATCAAGGCATTATAAAACGATAGTATCACTTCTCCTGATCTTGATTCTATTACAATCAGAATAACGAATCTTGATTCTATTACATTCAGAATAATCTTCTCTTTGGATAAGTACAATGTTCCCAATCCACAGAGACCAAAACCCACAATTTATATCTATTTTATAGCATAGTTTCAGTTTGCCCATTATGGATTTTTTGCTTTATTTTTGTATTTGACTATTTGTAAAGATGGCCACTATAAATTATAGCTTGACAATAAAACAAAATAATCATTTCAAGCAGCAAAAAGCCAGTAATATGAAATAAATGGATTAGCAGGCACAATGTTCCACCATTAAAGTCAATAATGAAGAATATGAAAAATATCTCTTAGCTTGGGAAAGGGGGCAAGGAATGGAAATTAAATGCAACAAAATAAAATAGGACTTACTTTGCTCTAGGTTGATGTACTAATCCTGGAAGCTCTTTATTAGCCTTAAGTTTTACATGTGAACTGGCACTTTTTTCCTGGGGAAAAAAAACAGACACATATTCACAAGTTGATGAGGGTTTTTTTTAATGCTAGGGAATATTTTCTATCACAGTCAATTGAATAATGAAGTATTCATGTATAAATATGAGAATTTAAACATGAAAAGGCAATCAAGTTTTACAATGGTAATCTATGACAAACCAGTCATAGATCAACCTCCTATTTGAACACCCAATTCAAAATATTGTGTTAAGCTTATTCTCTTTTTCATAGAATCTAAACAATTTGAATTATCCAATATTATCCAAAATGACACTGAAGCTTGAATAATGCAGTGCTTCCTCATGAAAAAAAGCACAATATTTAATAAAACAGACATAGGGTATCTGGGAGCCATAAATTCTTATTTCCATAATCTATTTTTTTTAATATCAAAACACATCTGTGCTTTCTGCTGCTGTATCCAATCAATGAATCTCATACTACCATACTGATTTACCACTCAGTGAGAACCAGATGGATCTCTTGTCCATTCTTACCACTTTTCATCCCATGCATTTTTCAGCCCCAAAGCATCTTGACTACCAGGAGATAGAAGCTGAATAGGGAAGCCATTAATAAAACTTTTTTGCAGCCAGTGAGATAATTCTATTGGCAAGCTCTCTGTTAATACCTGATATTTCTTAGGGTTGCAAAATCATATACTGCAAATAAGGGACTGAGGGACAGATAAGCAACAATACAGGAGTGGATTTTCCTTCAAAGCTATCAGTCTTGCCAGACCTTTCCACTCAATTCTTCAGCAGCACAATGTAAAGCTCAGAATAAAAGGTGCAATGTGCAACCTATCTCTTATGTTCTCTTGATCCCAGGGCACTTGGGCTTTCTTTTGCTTACAAACATGAGAGGCAGACAATAATCTCAAGTCAACAGAGGTGGGGGACTGAGTGCTATTGAAATTGAACGGGGGGGGGGGGTCAGTATGACAAGAGTCTCCTAAACTAGGGTTTTAAAATCAGCATCTAGTTCCACAAATCCGTAATGCTTGTTTGTTCTTCATTATCTCATGTGATCCATATCATTTTGCACTACCATCCTTGTGTGGAGTTACAGCTGACAGAAAATATAAACAAAATGGAAAAAAAAATACATGTCAATTTGACTATGGCTGTATTGGCATGGTTCCATAACTGAGACAGCACTGCTAGACTGATACTATTGAACTCAAGAGTGGAGAAGAATGTTTCTCTTATCAGAATTGACTGCTTTAAAATTAGATCACGATTTCAAATCTTGAGTGAAACAGAAAAACTGGCTAGATCTAACCACATTTAGTAACAGATCACAATGCGTGGGTTCTATTATGATTTAATGCAATATCTGAATTGACATATAATTTCTTCTTTTTTGAGAGAGAAACCCATGGTTTACATGCTAAACTATGATTAGTATGATCTTGTGATATTTGAATTAAACCTTCATGCTTATAATTATCATTTACAGTTCATTATTCAGAGGATTCAACAGACAAACCTAACAAAAGCACATCAGTAACTAAGTGCAACTAAATGTAAACTGTAAAGAGTACAGTCAGTAAAGAGTGAAGTCTTTGTTTTCTGTCTTGAATTCAGTCTGATTAATATATGTCAAGAAAGAACTTTGGCAGCATAAATAAAAATGAGACCACACTGGGTGCTCCCCAGACAAACTGCAAATCCCAGGAGTTATGGATTTCCAGGGAAGAAATAGTGAACTGGAGACAGCTCCGCTGAGAGTGGACCAGGCAGAATGAAGAGCTGATGAAAGGACTGACTCTTCCCAATTCATTTCTGAACAAGGAATTGGATTGCTCACAAGTGGTCTGGACAGTTGCTCCTCATGAGGAGACCACAAACTAGCAATCTCCAGTAGATTTAGAATTCATCACATGAGGGAATGCCATAATAGCCCAAATCATGGTTCAGCTCCTTTATGGGCACAGGGTTTGTATACTTCCTTTTTGAAATCACCTTTGAAAATTGCTTGTTAACTACTTTTAGGAACTTTCCTAAAAGAATGGCATGCTTTATACACCCAGGGAGCTTCCTCCAGCTCTTAGCAAAATACATTTTAAATGTAAAGAGGGTGTCTAGAAGGTTGATTTTGGAAAGTTATAAACAGGCTAAGGGTCCAGATGGATCTGAAATAAAATTTAAAATTAATTATAAGAATCCAACCAGTTGGAAAATGCTGTTATACAGAATTCTTTAAAAATATGTTAACCGGATAAACAAATGAAACCAGCTGATGCCTTGATAATGAAAAGAAATATTGAAATAGCTAACCCAAGGAGTGATCTGGATAATTCTTCTACCGCTTACTGGATTTACAAAAAGAGTTTTGTGAAAGTTTTGAAGAATTCTGTGAGAAGAAGAAGAAATGAAATCAAAATCTAGTACATTATTTGGAAGAACTAAAGCTAAATGTAAAAGGAAGAAATATAAAATTGGGTTTTTTGATCAAGATTAAAATAGATACAGTATATTCTTCTCTCTGGTAATTATACATCAACTTTTGCTGAACAGGACTGAATGACGACGTTTTTAATTTTGTTTATAGATAACAGAAGATATGAGAAATGGCAAAAATACATAATTATATTTTAAGAGAAGTTGAAAGTTACAAATTGTTTATATTTGTAATAAAGGGAAAAGTGATTTCTTTAGATATTTCTTTTTTCTTTACTCTATTTTTTCTTTTTAAATTTCCTTTTTTCCATTTTATTTTATTTTTAATTTTGTATTAGTTTTTATCTTTTTAATTGTAATGTTTAATGAAAAAAATGAAATCCCAGGAGTTACAAAACCAACAGTTCTGAATCTGGTAGGCTAGGAAAGACTTAAAATATTTTTTGTACCTTTACAAAAGAGGTAGAAGAGAATGTCACTGCTAAGTCTTTAGCAAAGTTTCTGCATCATGTTAAGCCAGAGAGGTTCAGACCTGACATCGTAATAAACATGAGTTCCACTGGCCTTACTTGACCTGATCAGCTTAATTTTTTTTGACATCTTGAAGCCACCATTTGAAATATTGGGTATGTTAGGTATTTTTTACATTAAGTCTACTCCTCTCAGTACTGAGGGCTTTTCCTTTCCAAAAAGATTTAATGAACTAACAGAGATTGACACTACAGTGTTCTTCTCTCAAGTTATTATGACATATCCTTTCCTGATTCGATTTTTGTAAATTCTTTCTTTGCCAGACTCACTGGGATTTTGCCAATCATCTATTGTTCTACACTACCACAGGAATAATATAATCTTTGGCCAATATTTTCTGGAAATAAAATCATGGAACTTGCGTTTTCAAGCAAGTTCTTTTTCCTTTCTTCTTAGTAAAAGTGTTTTATTGACACTTTGGTAAAGGACACAGATTGCCTGGAACTTGCCCAGAGGTCAAGTAACGTGCAATATATTCTATAATCTATTTTGAAATCCTCCTGAAATGGCTTGAAACAAGTGACTCTTTGAACAGCTCCAAAATCTGCCTTTGGGCTTTGCTTACAACCAGCATAGCTAACTTTTGCTTTTCCTTAACAACCAAAGCATTGGGCAATCTGCCTACCCTCTCATCTTCACCAGGCAGCATGGAAAGGCATTTTTGTCCTTTGGTTAAGATGACATTGGCCTTTATGTCATATATGTAGGATAAATATGCTGTTGCAAAGTATGTTACATTTTTTCTACACAACGTAATCTCTTGAGTAACTCTAAAATAGTCATTTTCTCTTTAATTACAATACCATAAAGTGAGAATCTTAAGCAGTTTCCCCATTCCTTTTGTGCTTGTGAGCAGATGTTGTGGACCCTTTTCTATAATGACTGCTGGATCGTTTTCTCATTCTCTAAGGTCAGCCATGAGGGACACAACTATATATAAAGCTGTGATTTTACAGAATGCTTTCTATCATCTTCTCTAGTTCCCCAGCCTCTCGTTACCTTTGATCTTTTTCTGTACAGGTATACATTTTTCCAAACAAAGCAATATGCTGTAGTTACCAATTATTTTTATCTTCTGAGAAACAATTATGAACATCATGTGGGTCCCAAAGGCAGTTTTAGATGTAGAGATAATGCAGAAGGATGGTGTTTTCCTTCAACATTTTTAAAAAAATGAAATAATGAAAAAGTTTTTTAAAAAGCAAGACTGAGAAAAGTCGCTTCCCTCGGTATCATGTTGGGGAGCCAGTTCTTAAGCCTGGTTATGTCATAGTGGATGAAGGAATAAATTACTTTGGAGAAGTTCCCTTTCTGCTTTGACCCAAGCTGTCCCATTCACGGATCCCAGATATTGCACAAAATTCCTGTTCATTAAGCCCACTCTATAAATTAATGAAACAAAAGAGATAATTCAGTTTGGAGAAACTGAGGCATCAGAATTCAAATCTAGTGGAGGTAACAAATTTTGCATTTTTATTTTTTTTTAGTTTTGAATGTTATAGGGAATGTTACTGCTGTTGAATAAAATAGGGGGCTTTTTTTAGAATATCTTTTTAGAATACAGAATACCAGAGTTGGGGCTCTTCTAGTGCAATATCCTGCTTTAGCAGGAAACCCTATAGCAGGAGTGTCAAACTCAATTTCATTGAGGGCTGCGTCAGGGTTCTGTTTGACCTCAGGAGGCCAGGGTGGGCGTGGCCAGCTCGACGCCACTTGTATCCGGGGTGCCTGTAGTGGCCCGAGTGCTCTATCAGCGAAAATGGGCTCCCAAGCTCCGTTTTCAGCTGTGACGGCTTCCTGCAACCCTCTGCCAGCAAAAACAGAGCTTGGGAGAGCCGTTTGGACAGTCCTTTGCTGTTTCCAAATTGGCCTCATGGGCCAGATCTAAGCACCCTGTGGGCCGGATCTGACCCTCAGGCCTTGAGTTTAATATCCCTACCCTATACTATTCTGGATAAATGGCTGACCAACCTCTTCTTGAAAACCTCCAGTGATGGAGAATCCATAACGTCTGGAGGCAAGCCATTCCACTGCTTAACCATTCTATTGACAGGAAA